CATGAATTATATTATTAAAATTATGGGATTTTTCTTGGTCACTACAATAGGGGTTTCGACTGATTTGAGTTGACCAAGTCAAATTTGTTGACCTAGAGGCGACCAAAATGTCACCCTCAAAAAGTTAGTCAAGAATGGTCAAAGTTGACTAAGTTGACCATCTGTCTAAAAAGCGCGTATAAAATGCGTACCGGATAGGAATTTAACTGAACCAAAATAAGATAATTATTAAATGATCAATGGTTGAGATTAAAGTGAAAAATTGGATGAAGGGCTGAGATTGAGACATGTGGCATGAGAGGTGGCTGGCCAAGACATAATGGAGAAGAAAATGAGAGATATTTTTAGGATATTTTGTGAATTTTTTCAGAAAAGGCCTTGAAAAAGTCAAAATGGATTTTTAGACTTTTGCTTTAGGTGTTGGTCGGTTCATTAGAGGCATATTACATGAGAAATGTTCATTTCTCATACATAACAACAGAGAGCATCAGCCAAGAGAGAAAGAGAGAAAAAAAAAATTTCCAAAGTGAGGAAAAACGAGATTTAAGCGGAAATTGTCGAATCTACCGAGGAACAACATCACCGAAGCTTGTTCTTCACTCTCTAAGGTGAGATTTAAAATTTTCTGTACGAAATTGTTCTGCACGTGGATGTTGTAGAAGGCATGAGGAAAATTTCACTTAAGTATGGAAGTTAGTTCTTAATGGTTAAGGAACTTAAAAATGGATGAATCAAGGATAGATTCTAGGTTAATTGACCTTTGTTTCTATCAATTTTTGGTATGGAGAAATTTTATGGATGTATGAGGAAACCCTAGAAATTTTTGTGTAATTAAAAGAGAGTATGTAAATGGTGTTTGATGGTGGAAACAACGGATAAAACGAGCTAAGGTTAGCTCGAGAAACATGCAGAAATAGGCGGAACTCTACCGAAATTTAGTTTGAGTAATTTGAACTAAAACCGGATTTCAAGAGGTAAAAGGGATTAAAGTGTGAAAAGAAAGGTGGTTCGATAATCGGTGATGTATAGAAACCGAACACGATGAGAATTCACAGTTCTAGACCGAAACTGAAAAATTAAGGCCATGACTGAGGAACGTGCACGGTTTTAGTGCAAATTCTTGAGATAGGAAATAGTTTGGGATTGAATACCAAACATAAGGATTGTAGACCTTTCCGAATTAAATTTCAAAGTAGTTATTGATCTTAGATTTTGAATCTAATGATAAAAAATTTATGCAATAAGATCGATTAACGATTGAAGTCGGGAAGCGTCAAGTGAGACAAAGGACGCATCGTTAGCGAAACTTTGGTAAGTACAGTAGTTTTTTTATGGCTACATCGCAAACAAGCTTACTTTTCTATGTTGCACAAAAGTTGTGCATATGGTAGAATTTTGAATGTTAGATACAATGTGAATGTTAGATACTATGTTAAGCATGTATCTACAAGACTTATGTAATCATAGAACTTTATTCTATGAAAAGTATGTATCGATGTTAAGTCAAGGTCAAACTAAGAGAAAAGGAAGGTTAAACTTTAACAAAAAATTAATCTCATGATAAATTGCTCAAAAATGCCCAAATTCATAAGATTTAACTAAAGTTACCGTTTCAATGAGAAAATTGATAAACGGTAAGAGACCAAACATCCTGTTTATACCAACCTTCGAAGGAAAGGTTATTATGAGAATATGAAAGAAATGAAACTGTGACTCAGTTGGATTGGTTAGCTACCTCACTCCTCATTGGTTATGCGCGCTATGGTACAACAAGACAGAGCCCATAAGAAGTAAAAGACAAGAAAATGAAACATGAAAACCATTTCATATAAAGGTATGGTATCTGTAAAGAAGAATGAAAAGAATGAGAAACACAAAATGAAAGTCGTTCAGAATTCTGCACTAGGATATATGACATGAATGCATAAATGGGTATGCATAATTATTACATCTATTATGACCTATTGATACTTGCTGAGCGAAAGCTCATTAAGTTTGTTCGTGTTGTAGGAAGCTCGGGTAAGGCACCAGCTCCCTGAAACTTGTTGCTGGGCATGTAGAGAGGATGTAGCAGCGGAGTGTGGGCAAGTGGGTTGTATATGCACCACGTGTTTTGGAAACGCTATTGAACTTTATGTGTAAAAAGTAAATAGTATTTTATGAATATAGATGACTTATGTAACGAAAACTAAGTTCATGAGACAATGAGGCTATGTATAGCAACCTCTAGTCACAAGGTATGGTTAATGTAACAGAATGCTATAGCATTTCATTATAGTTGAAAACGGAATGCTACAGCATTTCATAATAGTTGAAAATGGAACGCTACAGCATTTTATAATAGTTGAAAACGGAATGCTACAACATTTCACGAATAGTTGAAAATGGAACACTAGAGTTGAAAACAGAATGCTACATCATTTCACGAATAGTTGAAAACAGAATGCTGCAACATTTTACAAATGAAAATAGAATGCTAGCTAAATGCTACAGCATTTAGACGTACATGGTAAAAAAAAATCGGCCTGAATTTGTAAGAGGTTATAACTAGAGAGTAGTAGAGGTCAAGAAATATTAAGTATGAACATAGCATGATGATCAAAAGTTATGGTTGTCACAAAACATTTCAAAGCAAGCAGCTTCATGGAAGATAGCTAGTCAGTGACCAGTGGCGGGGCCAGGAATTTTGTCCAGTGAGGGCGCGATTAAACCAAATTAAATTTAGTAATTTTTTTATCTTTATTTATTTATTTTCTTCTTTTCATGCTAAATGAATTAAACTTCTAATAAAGTTAGTTTTTTCTTTTGAATTAGTAGAGTGAAATTTAATTCCAAAAACTTGTAAATTTATATTGTAGTATAGTTGATTTTCTTGCAAAAACTATGAAGAAATGACAACTAAAAAATTTGAGTGGGGGCAAATAAAGAGAAGAATGTCACAATTAATCGTTTTCATAAAAACAAAATAACAATGTCGTATGAGTACACTCACGCTTATGGTCATATTCTCGTGGCTTTATGCCGTTCAATTCCAACCAATTCCTTGAAGCCATCTTCATCTGTCAAACCAAGTGGCACTGTTATAAGTGGACCAGCAAAGCTAGAAGGAATACTAGTCCAATTCTAAACGCAAGGACCCCAATGTCAAGTCCACCTCCATTTAATTTCGTCCATTTAGTGGCACTGTTATGAGTGTGATATCGATATTAAAAGATTTGGAACTTTAGGATTTCTTCAAGTCATTCAAAGTAAAGTGTTTTAAATTTAACAATTTTTCGCATTTTTTTAGAGGTAAATGTTTGAAAGTTAAAATAACTGTTACGGCCCGTGAGGGCTCATTACAGCAAATGTCACTCCTCAACTCTCGAGTGTGAGTTTGAGTAATCCTGTAAGCAAATTTCCAAAGGTAGATGCCGTAGAATTAAGCGGTTAGTTTGTTAGCATATGGGTGTGAGTTATAAATAACTACGTATTTTCACTCCAATTTTGAGGATTTTTCTCTTAGCCACGGATTTGCCTTGATTTTATCCATTCTGCTGCATTACTTGACTTTAATTTACTGTTCTTATCTGCGTTGTGTGACCACTGTAATATCAATAGCATCTTCCAAGTAACAAGAACACGTCTAATTTATCAGCTAGAGCTTCGCATCAAATTAACTTGATCTCAACCACGTTATTTACAATTTCAGCAACAACAAAAAAAAAGGTCCAATTAACTAAGTCATCCTGCCATTCAATTGGTTGTAACTAAGTCATCCTCTACTTCGATTCAGTTGTCTTTCATTTTCTTTTTCTTTTTCTAATATTGTGCTCCACATTTTATTTTCTTCAAAACTTTTTGTTTGTTTTTAAAGAGAACATATTTTATCCTTTTTAACGCATTTTAAAAAACTTTGATAGGTTTCTTGATTACACGAAGTACGCAACTTCTGAGCGGGAGAGATCGTCTCAAAGAAAACTTATGGACTACTTCCACAAAAAAGAAAATAATAAACAAGAAAGAAAGGTCTACTTTAACTTATTCAAAGTTTTCTTGTTTCAAATTCTTTAAGTACACAACTTCCGAGCAAGAGAGATCGTCTCAAAGTCTTTTAAGTATCAACAACACACAAAAATGCCAAACATAGATGTGATTTGTGGACGGGACTAAGAGACTTAGTTGCTTGACAATGAGTGCGATATCGATATTAAAAGAGTTGGAACTTTCAGCAATTCAAATGGAGCAAACATTTCAAAGCAAGCAGCTTCATAGAAGATAGCTAGTCAGTGACCAGTAGCGGGGCCAGGAATTTTGTCCAGTGAGGGCGCGATTAAACCAAATTAAATTTAGTAATTTTTTTATCTTTATTTATCTATTTTCTTCTTTTCATGCTAAATGAATTAAACTTCTAATAAAGTTAGTTTTTTCTTTAGAATTAGTAGAGTGAAATTTAATTCCAAAAACTTGTAAATTTATATTGTAGTATGGTTGATTTTCTTGAAAAAACTATGAAGAAATGACAATTAAAAAATTTGAGTGGGGGCAAATAAAGAGAAGAATGTCACAATTAATCGTTTTCATAAAAACAAAATAACAATGTCGTATGAGTAGACGCACACGCTTATGGTCATATTCTCGTGGCTTTATGCCGTTCAATTCCAACCAATTCCTTGAAGCCATCTTCATCTGTCAAACCAAGTGGCACTGTTATAAGTGGACCAGCTAAGCTAGAAGGAATACTAGTCCAATTCTATACGCAAGGACCCCAACGTCAAGTCCACGTCCATTTAATTTATCCTATTAACATTCATAATCTTATTTACAAACCTTCCATTGTTAATTAAGCAAAGCACAGTATTTTCTGAATCTCCCGGATTTCACCATGTCTTGGTGTAGCATGCTCTTCTTGAGTTTGACACTGTCCTTCTTCGCAGATGTTGGAGCAGACCAAATTCCATGCGAAGAATCCAAGTGCGGAGACGATGGCGTGGCTATCAGATTCCCCTTCAGACTCAAACATCAGCCAAACCACTGTGGCTATCCCGGGTTTGAGTTATCTTGCGACGGTTCACATACGGTTCTTGAACTGCCAATATCTGCAAAATTCTTTGTGAGACGTATAGATTATAAGTCTCAGAGGATTGAAATGTATGAGCCAAGTAATTGCTTCGTGAGAGAGTTTTTAAAGATCCGCAACTTATCAACTTCACCCTTTCATTTCGGGTCGGACCTCGATAACTATAGCTTCTTCAATTGTTCTGAAGATACCCTCGGTTATTCTCCTTATTATGATACCCTCCAGTGCTTTGGTGGCAGCAGCTACAAAATCTACGCCGTTCCATCTGACTCTGCGATTGAGGAATTGCCCACAAATTGCTTCAAGATATATAACACAACTCTTCCATCAACAAAGTATAACCGCCCAAACCAAAGTTGGCTTCGTTTGAGTTGGCAAAAACCGAATTGCGGTCAATATTGTGAAACAAAGCGAAAGAAGTGTCGTCTCAAGAGCAATGCCACCAAAGTTGAAATTAAATGTTTTAATCCCAAACCCAAACCAAGAAAAGGTACGCGCTTATGTTCTTGTTTTAGTGATATTATGCTTTAACTAAGTAGTTAGTAAAGTACTTTTGCCTGTAATTAGACATTCACAGTTACACTATAAGGTTTTCTATGATCTGCTAGAATTATGATTTTTAAATGATTCTTCGGAATCAAAAGAAAGTTGAAATTATTTGGCATACTATCCAGACAATATTGAAGGATCCTGTTAAACTTAACTTCATTGACGTGAAATATCTGATTATGTTATTGTCTTTTACAGGTGAATCAACGAAATTTGTCGCCATTGGTGAGTATCCTATTTTGGAAGTGTAATATGTTTTGATTTATAAGAATGATGTCGGAAATCTCAATGACCAAAATTGTTTCATCTGTAGGTGGGGCACCGATTCTCGCACTACTACTCCTCGTCGCTTATCGTGCTTATAGTTCTAATAAACTGGAAAAAGACACTCAACGGAGAATAAAGAATTTTCTGGAGGATTATAGAGCTCTAAAGCCAAGCAGATACTCATATGCTGATATTAAGCACATTACAAGTCAGTTCAAAGATAAGTTGGGGGAAGGAGCCTTTGGAACTGTCTTTAAAGGAAAGCTCTCAGAAGATTTTTTTGTTGCTGTCAAGATCCTCAACAACTCAAAAGGAAATGGGGAAGAGTTTATAAATGAAATCGGGACAATAGGCCGAATTCACCATGTCAATGTGGTTCGCTTAGTTGGCTATTGTGCCGATGGATTCAGACGAGCTCTTGTTTATGAATTCTTACATAATGGTTCATTGCAACAGTACATATCCTCACCAGACACCGATCATTTCCTTGGTTGGAAGAATCTGCAAGATGTTGCTTTAGGCATTGCCAAAGGGATTGAATATCTGCACCAAGGATGTGATCAACGAATCCTTCATTTTGATATCAAACCTCACAATGTTTTGTTAGATCATAATTTCACTCCAAAAATTTCTGATTTTGGTTTGGCCAAGTTGTGTTCCAAGGATCAAAGCATAGTGTCAATGACTACAGCTAGAGGCACCATGGGGTACATTGCACCTGAAGTTTTCTCTAGAAACTTCGGAAATGTCTCCTATAAATCGGATGTTTATAGTTTTGGAATGTTGCTGCTTGAAATGGTTGGAGGAAGGAAAATTACAAACGTGACGGAGGATAACACAAGCCAAGTTTACTATCCCGAATGGATCTATAATCTTCTAGAAGATGGCGAAGATCTAAGAATCCGTATCGAGGAAGAGGGAGATTCCACAATTGCAAAGAAACTTGCAATTGTAGGAGTCTGGTGCATCCAATGGCACCCGGTGGATCGTCCTTCCATGAAAGTTGTGGTTCAGATGCTCCAAGGAGGAGAAACTCTAAGCATGCCGCCTAATCCTTTTGCCTCCACCGATTCAACTTCAGCAGTTGCCAATATGCCTAGAAGACGTATGAACTTTGGATTAGATGTTATAGCCGAGTCAGAGTAATTATGAGATTAGCAAATATTTTTCTTGTATATGAATGTAAGCATATTTGTTTTCTGAAACAGTTGCCAATATGCCAAACTAGTGTTAGCAACTTCATCTTTGTGAATCTTCGTCAGCAAAGTTTGTCCCCAAATGAAGGAAATCAAGGAAAAAGATTGTATCGAGATATACTCGTTGGATAGTCTTCTATTATTGATCGTTATATTTTCTAAATTTAATGAAATAATAAAAGCTCTTAGCAGCCTCTCATTTTGTTTTCATTACCGAAGACAGAGACTAAATTAACAATAATTGAAAGTTAAAACTCTGGTCATGTTCCCCCTTTGAAAATTCATGTTCCGTGGACATAAAATGCCTCTGCCCAATTTTCAGATATTTGGCGATTCATGAAATATGCAACACTAGTTCTTTCTACCATAGGAGCTCAATTATGTTCTCAACGAAAGCTGTCAAATGTAATTCATAGGAATTCAAATCCCGCACCACAAGTTTCAAAAAGCAAAAAAGAAACCATAAACAACAAAAACTGTGGGACCTACAGGCTCGTACGGTATAAAAGCACAATACAAATGCAATGCAAGTATATTCCGTGGCGTTTACTTCTGAGTCTTCCCTTCGATATCCTCCATTTATTCAACATGATTATCTTCCACGAAGCTGCTGTTCTTGTAATGTTTGCTTCCGTAGACTCGCTGAAAAATCCAAGTCTTCCACTTACATCGTTCTCAGCCAGCACATAGCTAGGCCCAACGTTAATATGGTCCCAGCTTACACGGTGTTGTGTTCCGACCCATTAAACAAATCACAAGGATCCTATCTCTGTAAGAGTTAGTTCACTGATTCGAGTTAAGATGTTAGTTTATATGAGAGTTTTTTACTGTAGTAAAAAAGTTAGATACGATTATTTGTGAGAGCCTTTTACTGTAGCAAAACTCGAATTCTAAACTCGAATCAGCGAAATGGAC